TTGGACGGGAAGGAAGTGCAATCCAAGTGGCTGTGGGTCAATATCCCAGTTTGGGGTAGGTGCACCACCCATTTTAGTCTATTTTAGTGGGGATTGGGATGTTTAATTGGGGTACGGGATTTTGACCCTGGCCAAATAAAGATTACTGCCGCTTGGTCACACAATCATATGCAAACACTAGGATTTAGTGGTTTCGAGTGTTGTGTGACCTGATGTTACGCTAAGATTGTGCCTTAGTCTGAACTTAGCACACTGAGGTCCAAATAACGTTAACTTATCCCTTGTCTATGCTCTCAGCGAGTCAAAAAGAAGCAACAATATCACGTGTCCAGGTCAACCCGTGGTCCTTGAAGGTCGTTTGAGGAAGAAATGCACTGGACAAAACTGGAGGTTTCTGGGTCCAAGCAACACTCGACTTGTTTTTTATGGCACATCACACAAATGGTTAATGTTGAGCCCTTATTACTCAGCCCCCGTCGATTAATAAGGGGGTGTCCGGTTTAGTGGGGGGCCCTCGGTCTTGAAGACTTGGGGATTTCTTTGGCTGTGAGTTGTTTTGTCAGGTAACTCTTACACTCAAGCAATAGTAACTCTCACACTTACACTCTTACACTCTTACACTCTTACGCTCTTACACTCTTACACTCTCACACTCTTACGCTCTTACGCTCTTACGCTCTTACACTCTTACTTTTTTTTTGGCAAAAATAGCGCGACGCATCTTTCGGGTCACTCTTACACTCTTTTCAGGTGCTTTTTGCTTGGTGGCTTTTGGTGGTTTGGGGATTTGAAGCCACCGGGCGCCAAAGCGCCGTTGCGGGGGGGAGCTCCGTTTTTGGGGCCTGGGGAAAGCTCCGGAAAAGCGGTCCACGAATCCCGGGGAATTTTTGATCTCCATTTGGGTGTGGCAATCAAAATTAAACGGGGGGGGGGGGGGGCTAATTACGCAGGTTTTGGTTTCCATGTTTCTTTCCACTTACCAGGGCAAGCCGATTTGGAATTCCGTTGTTTTTGAGCCACAGCCATTTCTGGCCATGTCAGCTTCCCTCCAATTGGTGGTTTGGAGTCCGGCGGTTTGGTGGCTTGGTGGTTTGGTGGAGGGGTGTCCCACAATCTACAAAAGCCAGGGGGCTCAAATCCAAAGCCAAAACAGTCCAAACCACTAAACTAAGGGTTATATACCTGAGAATTGCTGATGGCACATCACTTCTCTCCATTAGATGGAGGCTGAGTATTTGCAGAAGGCCACAGATCCAGAGTCAGGGGATTTGGGGCCGATCCCAGATAGGCGACAAGGCAGATAGGCAAAGGGTGGTTTGGGGCATAGTTGGGGTTGGTCCACTTGGATGTTCAACCCACTTGAGCCACAGTGAAAACCCGGCTAGATGAAGGTTAGTGAGGAAAAATCGCAACCATAAATGGGTGCAGCCGCCTTTGTATTTCTTTACATGGTCCTGAACAGACACCATTGTAATACCATTTGGTAAGCAAGTGATAACCAAGGTTATAACTGGGACACCCGGTGTTCGTTGGCCTATGACCGTGGTTACAACCTCCCTGACCTGACCTGGGTTGAACATCCAAGGGAGAATCTCCTGCGGTTTCCGAATTCCCTTCAGAGCCATATTCTTTGGTGGGTGCCCTCAAGCAACATCCAAGTTGCCCAGAGGGAAGTCATTTTTCTGGATGGCCCAGTCGCTCTTTTTCGGCCAGACCGCGCCCAGCTCAGATCCTGCCAGCGCGGCCTTCGATTTCGGGGGGGTCGGGGTCAAGTGGCCGTGGTGGTCAAAACCGTTGTGGTTGATCCCATTTTGGTTGGGATCGGTGAATTCACCCTTTCGGAGCCTATTTTAGTGCTTGGATTGAATCGGATGTTCACTGGGGGCTAACCGGGATTTTCAGCCATGGCCAAGTTAGTAAGCGGTTTTTTCCCCTGGGTTATAACCCGCTAATAGCAAGGTGAACTCTACTTTCACGGGACTCACAAGTGAGCTATAACCAAGCGATTGCCGGTATAGAACGTACACTTGGCAACGACGACCCAAGCAATCAGCGAGGTTTGGGGGGGGGGCGGCGGGGTCCCGTAAGAAAGGCACCTAGGAAATTCAAACCATTTGTTGGGCTCCGAATCCTACGAACACCAAAGCTTGAAAAAAAGACACACACACACACGGTACCTTCCCCATTCTTTCTCCTTCTTTCCAAAAGAACCACCCAAAGCCCTGGGGCAACAGCAATGCAGTTTTTCAAAACAAACGATGGTTGAAAGGAATGGACAAGGACAACTCATAGACACACAGCATTTTTCCCAGCTCCACCGAGGCATCCTCTCCTAGGAACAACAAAACTTTAAGAATGACACGTACACACACACACACCCACGCACACACACGCACACGCACACGCACACGCCCACGCACGCACACGCACACGCACACGCACACGCCCATGCCCACGCGCACGCGCACGCGCACGCGCACGCGCACGCGCACGCGCACCC